AGGAATTGGTTGGAGCCCAATGTTTTGGCTGGTTGATTATTTTTTTCTGGATTAATTACGTGGAACGTCTGTGGTATCCCCAGATGCTTCAGGCTCCCACAATCCTCAGGATTTATCCCTTTTGCTACACTTCCTGTGCCTAGTGTTGCAGTGGGAAGAGGGTCATGAGCCTGGGGGTCAGCTGCATGAGGCTGGGTTATCTCTGGGCCATGCCCCTGCTTCTGAGACTCCGTGATTTGATTTTTGTCCGGCTTTGTACTTGCAGCTCACCCCAGTCTTCTCCGACCCCCAGGGGCTGAGCGGGTGACTGGCTGGGACAATTTGGCAACATCAATATTAAGGGCTTCCAAGGGAAAAGTATTGGAACAGGAGACGAATTCCAAATTGGTGGAAAGCTTACTGTTCTGGGAGAAAAGGGCTGCCTCAGTTTCTCATCAACACTCAGTAAGTAGAGGCCTTTGTTCAAGGAACAAATGAATGGTCCCTCTGAGTTCTGCTTCAGTCTCCTCTAAGTCACAGCCTTTGAAGTATAGATGGGAGGAGACAAAGGCTCTTCAGTTGGCTCCTCATGATGACACTGCCAGCTCTAAAATGAGAACCAATAGAATGGTCGGAAATTGGAAATAAATTACAGCAAGTAAGGAATGAACTAACGGGTCCAGGTCTGGCCATTTCAGCATATTTTCTTAAATAATCTATCCTTTCCTCACCAAAACAATAAATTCACTAATTCATCTTATATATTTGACCTATGTGGTAGTTAATCTCACCTCATTATTCTAAACTGCTCTTCAACTACAATTCAAGTTATCTTGTATCTTTTCTCACTTCTTCTAGTTCCTGTTTCATCCCTATTTGCACCAGAGTTTACCTTTTATCTTAGTCCGATTTTTTGTTTCATAAAAGCCAAGCTTTCTTATGTCTCACTGAGAACAAAACAGATGTTTTCTAAAATTTTTTCCCATTAATCTAGTAATTTTTTTGAGTTGGGCTTTTCCTCCACATGTAAGTAATGCTTCTACTGTATTCTTTTTTGTTATAGAAAAATTTCCCAAGTCCCGTGTGTGTGTGTGTGTGTGTGTGCCCATGACTTTATACTTCCTTGAGTGGGCTTATGTATAGTTCATGTGGTATTTATTAGTAATTCTTTAATTCAATAGATACTATTTTTTAAAAAAATTTGATGTTTATTTATCCTATGGTGGGCAAGGTGTTTAAAAAACAAAATTACATAAAAGGATTTGTCTTTGCTCTGGCCCATGTGGTTCAGTTGGTTGGGGCCTTTTCCAACGGCACATTCCTAGGTTGCAGGTTTAACCCCGGTCAGGATGTATGCGGCAGGCAACCGATCAACGTTTCTTGCTCACATTGATGTTTCTCTTTCTCTCTCACTCACCCTCTCTTTTCCCCTCTCTCTAGAATCAATAAACATATTCCTGGGTGAATGCTTTTTTAAAAATATATTTTATTGATTTTTTTTTTACAGAGGGGAAGGGAGAGGGATAGAGAGTTAGAAACATCAATGGGAGAGAAACATCGATCAGCTATCTCCTGTACACCCCCTATTGGGGATGTACCCACAACCAAGGTACATGCCCTTGACCAGTGTCAAACCTGGAACCCTTCAGTCCGCAGGCCGATACTCTATCCACTGAGCCAAGCCAGTCAGGGCATGGGCGAATATTTTTTTAAAAAGAATTTGTGTTGAGAAAACCTCATGCAAGGCGGAAGACCAAGTAGGAGACATGAGCAGATTCCATTATTTCCACCTGTGGCTTTTCCATAGATGATACAGGTACACATGATGCCGAGATAGGGGGACTGACTCTGTGCACAGCTCAGTGTTTTTCTAAGTTGGCAGCCATTAGAAGTTAAGAGCACTGAAGCTATTTCCAATTTATATTAACATTTGCTTCCTCTGGAAATGTGTAAAAATACTAGCAAACACTAATGTGCCAATGTTTCTATGATGCTATAAATTAATGAGTGTAATACATTTTACATTCTGTTACATAATTTATTTAAAATGACAGCATTCCATTATCCTGTAAATCACTCAGCTATTTCAAAGAAGAACAAAAATGTTATAAAATGTTAGTGAAAAATAAAGATTTTTTTGCATAGAATAATATCCCAAATGTTTATTTTCCAGTGATGAAAATATTGAACAGTCCATCCTTATTTTATACCGGCCGAGATATATTAATCAATTGCCTTGATTATATCTTTCTGTGAAAAGTCATTTGGACAAGACACTATGGGGAACTTGTTTTTTAAAATTTGTTTAATCTTTAAAATAGAGATTTTAAAACATTATTATCATTCTGACATTAAAAAACACAGGCTATGACCAAAAATAGTTTTTATCTAGCCTGATTAAGATATGATTGAAAATAGAAAAGTAACTTCTAGATACCCCAGACAGACGCTGTAACAGCGGCCAAGAGCCACTAGGTGGCTCTGTCATTTTTAAATAAAACAGAAGACCGAAAAAGATAATGTATAGTTAAGGAACAAAATACTGCACAGTATCTCTAGTAGGCAAAACCTTTAATCAAAGCAAGAAACAAAAATCTGCAATTATGGCCTCTCAGAATAATTTGGAGCTATTCAATTGAGAATTAGACTTAAAAATAACCCTACAAAACTGCAAAGTGTGTATGGGTAAGCAATTTGCTAAAAAATAAGGGAAGGTATATTCTTAACGACACTAATTACTAAAGGGAAGGTTGTTCCAAATTTTTCCTAATTTATTGCCATCTAGGTTCCCAGCTTTTGCAGTTGTTGTTAATCCTCACCTGAGGACATTTTTTCTATTGATTTTCAGAGAGAGTGGAAAGTAAAGGGAGAGACAGAGAGAGGGAAACATCTATGCGTCTCATAGATTGGCAAGTGTGCCACCAAGGTATGTGTCCTTGACTGGAATTGACCCCAGGGACCTTTAGTCTGCAGGCTGACATTCTAGCCACTGAGCCAAACTGGCCAGGGTCCCAGCTTTTCTTTTGGACTTTCTCTATTTAGTTTAGACTGTTACCTTCAAGAAAAAATAAAGTTAAACTTGGGCATTATAACTCATTAAAAATTACTTTCCAATTTCCTGAACTATCCTTGTCAGCCTTTTAACACCCCAAGAGAATAATAGAACAAAACAACTTCATTATGGGGGGGGGGGGGAAGCCCATGCTTATCTAACTTAAGAAACATTGAGATGGTTAAATCAAAATGCAATTAAGGCAATCACTATTCCATTCTATAGCATTTGTCAGGAGATTGAAAGAAATAGTGTGCTTTAAGAGTTGGCAAATAATTCCTTTCTGGTTCCAGAAAAGATGGGAAAATAGTTACATTGGAAGTGTGATTTGGGTCTCAGGTACCAAAATTTGCTAGTTAAGTAGTTCTAGATTTCATTTGCCCCCCTGAAGTTATCTGCAAAAGATGATAATTTTTCCCCAAGTACATAACTAATTTTCTCATGAAAATAAGTGCAAGCTGGGAGGTGTGTGGGTTCAGGATTAAATACTCTGAGCTGCCAGTCTGCAACTGGCAAGTAGGGGGGAAAGGTTTCCTCTCCCCTCTTTCTTAAATGAGAATCTCAGACCTGTCTGAGAATAAGAACAAATTTAGGGAGAGTTTTAATTTGTAAAAAAACAACAACAACAAAAAAACCCCAATAATTTTCTTATTGTTGCTGGGAGCCAATAAATAATGATTGCGTGGCATGTGGTGTGGCTACAGGATTATACTGGTTTTGTTTGTTTTTCCAGGCAGGAACCGCATTTGAGAATTTACAGAAGTAGTTTGTAAAAGTATGTTTTTACAAAAGTAATAGGTAATTTGTGACCTCCTACCCCCTTCTTCTCCCCTTCTCCCTCCTCCTCCTCCCCTTCCTTCTTTTCTTCTTTTTAAAGAGCGCTTCTTGCACACAGTATAAATTAAACTTGGCTTTAAAATGCTAATTCCAAACCCACTTATTTAAATGTCTTTGAAACATTCACCCTTCTGCTTTTGAAGACAACTAATCATACGGAAGGAATGCACACAGCAGACATAAAAATGAACAAATACGGCCCGAATGTGAACGAACATAGTTATATGTTTAGAGAAATTAAAAACCGATTTCAGTCCCTCTGATCAGAGGATGCCTGTTAATATGAACTACTCTGCACTGTATCCCAAAGAGTTATAAATCACATCCATTGTGCTCAGCCGGTAGCGGATCAGTTGAGACATACCTGAATCCTGCACCTCAATCACAAAAAGTGCAGAGGCTGGAGGTGGAAAACCACAGGAAATTAGGCAGGTGGCTGAGCGGCCATCCAAAGTTAACGCACGGACTTAAGAGAAATATTTGTGCTCTTGGTTATCATCTCTTTGTTCTCATATTCGTTATTTTATTTCCTGATTGTGCTAAGAATATATTAGCTAGGAAGGGGTCCTCTTCGTCCTACACCTGGAGTCGCCAGTCTCCCCCGGCCTCCCCGGCTCCGGGCTCCTGGCCTAGAGAGGAGGGGCTGCAAGGGCGGGGCGCACTACCGGGCCGCGCGGCAGGTGGGACGGGGCGGGGCGGGGGAGGCGA